AACCTCCGCCTCCCGGGTTCAGGCAATTCTCCTGCCTCAGCCTCCTGAGTAGCTGGGATTACAGGCACGCACCACCATGCCCAGCTAATTTTTTTGTATTTTTAGTACAGACGGGGTTTCACCAGTTGACCAGGATGGTCTCGATCTCTTGACCTCGTGATCCACCTGCCTCGGCCTCCCAAAGTGCTGGGATTACAGGCTTGAGCCACCGCGCCCGGCCGGTTTGTGTATTTTCTACCCATTTTATCATTGTTTTAGTGTGTACTTCTATTGATTAAAAAGAAAAGTTAACTATAGAACAGCCAGAGGCGGGTCTTTCAGGAAATATTCCAGAAAAAGGCACTGTCATAATAGCAGGTGACAGCTACATGCGTGTTGTTGCCCCTGAGAACCTTTCAATGGGATGAGATTGGAGGTGGAAGACAGTGATGTGAATGACCAGGACCCTGTGTAGGCCTAGGCTAGTGGGTGTTTGTGTCTTCGTTTTTAACAAAAAGTTTTAAAATTAAAAATAGAACAAAGCTTATAGAATTAGGTTATAAGGAAAGAATATTTTGTACAGATGTACAATGTGTGTTTTAAGCTAAGTGCAATTATAGAAGAGTTTAAAAGTTTGTAAAATAAATAAAGTTACAGTAAGCCAAGATTAACTGAAGAAAGAAGAACTTTTCAGTGTAGCCTAAGTGTAAAGTCTTTATAAAGTCAATAGTGGTGTACAGCAACGTCTTAGACCTTAACATTTGTTCACCACCCATTTACCCACAACAACTTTTAATCCCGCAGTCTGCATTCATGGTGAGTGCCCTATATAGGTATACCATTTTTTTATCTTTTATGCTGTATTTTTACAGTACCTTTTCTATGTTTAGATACACATGTACTATAGTATTCATTACAGTAAGCTGCTCTATAGGTCTGTAACCTAGAAGTAATAGACTATACCATCTAGGTGCATGTATAGTAGGCTAGACTGTCTAGGTTTGTGTAAGTCCACTGTGATGTCCACAGTGAATTGCCTAATGATGCATTTTTAAGACTGTACCCCCATTATTAAGCAACATATGGGTATATTTACAGTTGTTTTCTATTTAAACAAGTCTTGAGAATATTTGATTAATACCATATAAGCCTTAACTTTGCATACTGATAATTGTTTCTTTGAAGCACCTAAGAATTGACTTGCTTGTTGATGAAGTTCTTGAAATAACTAAAAACTCATGTTGTAAAATTGGATGAATAAAATTATTTAGGTATCATTTTAAAATTTAGCATTTTAGAGAACATGGGACATTTTTATAATGTAAATAGTCCAGGTTGAGAAAAAGCTTAGGAATTTGTTGTAATCAAATAGCGTGAGTCGGCAGGAAAAAGGCAAACCAGGAAATGAAAAGTGCAAAAATACAACTTATAAGTATGTTAATTTGGTATGTGCAAATTAACTGTGTTTTGAAAAATGAGAAAATTATAGAAGTCGCTGTTTAATGTCAGATGAAGAAAAGGACTTTATTTTTATTTTTTATTTTTTATTTTTTTGAGACGGAGTTTCACTCATGCTACCCAGGCTGGAGTGCAATGGCACAATCTCGGCTCACCGCAACCTCCGCCTCCTGGGTTCAGGCAATTCTTCTGCCTCAGCCTCCTAAGTAGCTGGGATTACAGGC